TGATGGGATGTTCTGTAACTCTTAACCAACCTCACTCCAAGACCTGAAGAGACAAAATTCAAATGGAAATTATGTAAATCCTACTATACATATTTTATTTTCAATTCCTTATTTTTTTTATTACTTTTCATACTGAAGGATCCCAAAATGTTTTTCAACTGTATGTACACAGGAATTATTTCTTACACTAATCAACTCTGTTGGAAAGCGCAATAGGGTCTTCATAATTGCAAGTGGTGAAGCCCTCAATTTTAATTCTCATCTGAAATATGGACACTTCTAAGCACAATATTCCCTGACAGCATGCCAGACTGAAAGTGAAGAATGCCATCTCCTGAGTATGCTTCACTGCTTCCTGTAATGGCATAGGTTTTCCTTTAGATAACTGCTGTTATGCCTGTTAAAGCAGATGTGGTTACAGCCTCAAAGGTGTATTATAGCATATAACTGATTTATTTATTTATACAGATCTATAGGTGGGTCTATGATAACTGCAAAGACTGTCAGAAGACTTCAAAAGAGCCTCATAATCTCACCTTGAATCTTCAGCACTTCTCTGGCAGATGGCACTATATTTGACAATTTGATATGGCAATACATAAGCTATGTTCAAAATATTGCTACTGTAAATTGATAGCTTTTATAAATGTTTGTTTTCAGACATCAGAGGGTTTTGACCTCCTGACAGTAGAATAAGGTATTTTAAACAAAAATAAATAGTATGAGACTCCAACTTTGTAACGTCCATCATGTAACCAGTCTCAGCCAAGTGCTGAAATTTGATGAATGAAATTTGAAATACCAGCATTCAAAACTGTCTCATAATATTTGAGGACATCCAAATGAGGCAAAAAGATGAGAAGTAATTCTTCCACTCTACTCCTTACTGACAAGGCCTCAGCTGAAGTATTGTGTCCAGTTCTGAGTGCCACTTTCAGGAAAGATGTTGACAAACTGGAGAAAGTCCGGAGGAGAGCAACAAAAATTATGAAAGATCTAGAAAATTTATGCAGAAAGCTTCAGCTTATGAGGAAAGATTGGGGGGGGGGACGGGTTTATTTAGTATGGAGAAGAGAAAACTGGGGCGGGACATGATGACAGTTCTCAAGTACATAAAAGGTTGTTACAAGAAGGAGGGTGAAAAATTGTTCTCGTTAACCTCTGAGTATAGGACAAAAAGCAATGGGCCTAAATTGTAGCAAGGGAGGTTTGGGTTGGACAGTAGAGAAAACTTCCTAACTGTCAGGGTAGTTAAACACTGGAACAAATTGCCTAGGGAGGTTGTGGACTCTCCGTTATTGTGGGTTTTTAAGTACAGTTTAGACAAATACCTGTCAGGAATGGTCTAGTTATTACATAGTCCTACCTTGAATACAGGGGACTGGACTAGACCAGGTCCCTTCCAGTCCTACACTTCTATCATTGTATGAAAAGTCAACATCACCCATTGGTAACCAGAAAGAGGCTGCAGGAGAAAAGACATCTGTTTCTATAAGTGATTCACAGAAACATTCTCAACCTCACCTAGTAGGATGTGTGTGAGATGGGGTGTATAAATGCGACACTACAACTAAAAGGGTTAATTAAGGAGCAACTCTGGAACAAGGTGACCCCACCCAGCTGCACCTGCAGAGCATGATCCAGCTAGTGGTGGAGCTTAATAGGGAGCCAGACCGCTCTGAATTGGCCTGACAAGGCAGAGAGAAGGCCCTACCCTGAGAGCTCCGGAGAAAGGGCAATGCAGAAACCTACTCCTGGAGAGGAAGAACCTGTTGGCTGAGCCCAGTGGGGCTGAAGGTTCAACTAGTACCTCTTCTCTCACTCCTGTGAAACAGACTGCAAGACTTTGACAAGAGAGTGGGGGTAGGAAGGAGCCCAGGGAGGCAACTGTAAGGCACTCCTGTGTAGTGGACATTTGGTAACCCTTACAGGGTCCTTCAGGGAGATAAGACTGAGTGATAACCTGACCAGAGGGTCAAGTCAATCCCCAATAAAAGACAGACCTCCATCCGGTGTGAAAGTGTCCTAGTGGAAAGACTAGAGGCATGGCAAACAAAGGTCTAACCCCCTAACCAGCAGCAAGCTCCGTCCATCACAATGCGTCATGTGGACTCTCTCTAGCGATTGGCCAGTTCACATTATTAAGGCAGTGTGGGGATGAATTCTAAAGAAGAACTTTCAAACATAAAAGAAAAAAAAGCCCCTCCAGGCTACACGGTGTGGAGTAAAGAGAGTTTCACATCAGAACTCTGGTTCTAAGCACCCTTGAACTTTGGGGGCCAGTCTGACTCTCTCTGGCTTCACATCAAATTTTAGGCTATTAGCCCATTAGTGTAGAATTTGAAATTTGCATGTGTGTCTGAAAACAAAATGTCTGGAAATTCGTTTTTTCCTTTATTTACTTGTCATCGGTCCATGTTTGCCCTTCAACAGCTGACAAGAAGAAAACAGCCTCTTGAAACAGCATCTCCTGTTTGTTTTAGGGCCAGATCCTCATCCCATTGAAGTCCATCAGTTTGGACAGGGTTTGGCCAGTAGGAACGTATTTACATCCTGTGTGTTCTTTATTTGTTTTATTTAGGCAGATGTATCCATTGTGATTCATATTGGCCAGTACAACCTTTTAAAGCACATGACAAAATAATAAGATGACAAAAATTAATCAATGAGACTCCCAACTGTGTCTCAGAAAGTTGATTCAAACACTAACTAGTCTTGGTGAACAGAGAATCCATTCAACTTTCCTTGAAGGTCAGCACACTTGGGCTTTGTCAGACCAATCAGGGAAGCAAACTTCAGAGCCATCTAATGAGAACAATTTGCTTTCCACCCTTGCTCCCCTTTCCCAACCTATAAGTGTTCAACTTTGAGGGCTGCATGTGTGAGGAGCCAGCTGACTTCAACAGACAAGATGGCTCATGCAGTCAGGTTGTGATCTTGGTTGTAAATTCAAATAACCACAATGAAGTCAGATATTGTATCAGTAGCTAAATAAATAATAGCAACAATGCAATTGATATCAGCATTTGTCCCGTAGTCTCTAAGGCAACCAAGATTCAAAATGTGACATTACCTAGGGTACAATCTGGACCGTTGAACAGCTGTGTCATCTTAATTCTCTAGCTTGGGGTGTCTTTTATGCTGCTATGCTGTCAGAACACCCACTCCTGGCTTGTTCACACAGCCATCAGCATGCAAATTCACTCCCAGAGTGCTCTGACCAATCACTCATTAATTATGTACAGGGTGATACCTGCAAGTTCTTAGTCCCAACCTTGTTCCTCCAGTAATATGTGCCTTGTACTGTCCAGCAAACTATTGAACAATACAAGCTCATAGAAAGACCATCATTTCATCAAAGGAAAATGATATATGCACCAGCATTGTTATCCCGAAAGGAGTTTCCCACACATTGGTTAACCCAAACACACTGGTTAAGATAAAACAATAAGATAAGTTTATTAACTGCAGAAAGATAGATTTTAAATGATTACAAGTGATGATGCATAAAAGTCAGGATTGGTTACAAAAGAAAATAAAACAGTAATATGCAAGCTACTACCTAACTTAACAAGTGAAGTGACTGTAAAAGCAAAGTTTTTGTCTCACCATATACGCTGTTGTTTCGCAGGCTGGGTGTTATTTCAGCCTGGGACCACTCTGTCTTAGTTTAGTTCTTTGAGAGTTGATGCCATGATCAGAGAGATGGGAGGAGGAGAGATGAAGTCAAATGTTTTCCTCCTTCTTTATAATTCAATCTCTTGTGCTAGAAACATCCGTGCTGAGTCATGGTGATGCACAGTCCATTGTGGATGTGAGCTTTGAATCGTCCCTGTGATGAACTGTAAATTTCTTGTTTATACTTCCCATCTGCTGAAGGATGGTCACTTAAGTAGGTGATCCCCCTTTAACACAAGTCTGGGGTGCTAGTCTATCTTTGTCTCTGAAAAATTGGTATGTAGGACCCCAGAATTTCTATGTATTTCAGTAACAATCATACAGTAGAATCTTATAACCTCACATATTTTAACACAATAATGATATTCAGCAGATTATGACTTTTCAAATGGTACCTTACAAGACATACTTTGTACAAAATTTATCATAGTCTTGACCATAATAGTATAGACTGTCACACAAAACCTTTAGGCTTTCTGGATCAAACTCAACACATTTAAATTTTATCTGGGAGGAAATCAATGCAGTAGCTAGTGAAGTCTACACAACATAGGTGTAATAGGCTTCCCATGAGTAGCACCGCTAAATAATTGGGCAGCCACATTCTACAAAGTGATCAACTATTGGAGGGGAAACAGAACCTTGAAGTCAGACCTTGGCAAGTAAGTGAAAGAGGAAATGCTTTTCAAAGAGTAAGTTTATAAATATATTTGATTTTTAAATGCCCACAGTGTACATTTTCTGTTGAAGTGAAAATTGTGTTGCCTTGCCAAAGACAGAAGAACTCATACGTGGAACAAAGTAGATGATTTGAGCGGGCGATGGGGTTGTTTTGTATGTTTGGATTAATGTTTGTTGAATGTGTAATCAGTGTAGTGGCAAATACATATTTTTTCTGACTGCAGAAGAAAAAATGTTGCTACAAAACTATTATGGGGATGCTTCACTGTAAACTTTGTGCTGTTTGCTGTTTCTGTCCCTAAGATTAGCACCTGCAGCTAAACTATGTAGGATTAAAATTATAACTGCTATTAATTCTCCTGCTTCTGGGTATAAGCTGATTGCTATCTGAAAAAGACATTTTCCCCTACAGTATAATATTGTAAAATTAATCAGGTGTGTTATACTGGGGCTTTACACCTCCCTCTGAAACATCTGGTACTAGCCACTGCTGAAAGCAGTAGATCAGGCTAGATGGACAATTTGACTGCTGCAATTTGTTTATAGGTATATCATTAAGTTTTAACTATTAAAATCTGATCACTGTGGGATATTTTCTACAAGTTCTAATTTTTATTTCCTTCCTCCCTCCACCTTTTAAGGAGCTTCCACCCAGAATTCCAATGCAGTGGAGCCCGAAAAGCAAGCTGACAACACAGTGAAAATGGCTGGGGTTATAGCTGGCCTTCTGATGTTTGTTATTATCCTCTTAGGAGCAATGCTCACCATCAAAAGGAGGTAAGTCTCTGCTTTGCTTCCATTGTAGAGCTACTGGCTGGGACTGCTTGTATTTTACTAAAGCTGTTACCTCAGTAGAGATAAAACACTCCACTTGTGTTCATGTGGTGGAAAGGATATGGGTGGTGGTGGTGATTTATTTGTATCAACGTAGCACCTACGAGCCAGGGCCCCGTTGTGCTGGACAAACCCAGAACAAAAAGACAGTCCATGTCCCAAAGACAAGGGACAACAGATGGAGAGACATTTGGAAGAATACAAGGAAACAATGAGACAATGTTGGCCAGCCTGATAGACAGTGTTCTCAGCCCATCAGCAGCTTAACCATTGTCAAGTGTTTTGGAGGCATCATGGGAAAAGAGTTTTGAGGAGGGTGTTAAAGGAGGATAGTGTGTCAGTTTTGTGGATATTTACCGGGAGCTCCTCTCAAATGAGGGACAGCATGGGAGAAAGCACAAAGCGGCTTGTTTGAAAATTTGACAACTGGGCAATAGAGGCTGGCATCATGAAGCAGGAGTCAAGATCTCCAAAGTGACTGAGAGATGATAGGTAGGGCAGATGTAGGCTATGAAAGGCCTTGAAAGTGAATACAAGTAGCTTATATTTGATGTGATAGAAAATGGGGAGCCAGTGGAAGGATGTAAAGAGAGGAGTGACATGGTCAAAGTGACAAGCTAGGAAAATCTTTGCAGCACCATACCAGTGGGGCAAGGTTGTATTTATCAAGGCCAGAGAGAAGGATGCAAGATGATGAGAGCATGGACAAAGAGTTTTAGCTGTGTGTGTGGATAGAAAAGGCCCTATCCTAGAGATGTTATGCAGAAAGAATCAGCAAGATGTAGACATAGTCTAGATGTGTGAACCTAGAGAGAGGGCCAAGCTGAAGAAGGCAGGTAGAATGGGGGTGCTGTCCACAGCAATTGAGAAAGGAGGTAGGAGGGAGGGACAGCGGGGAGATTAGAAGGAAACAGGTCTAGAGGAGGAGATCTGTAAGTTGTCAGAATGGATATGGTAGTTGAATTTGCATTTGTGGATGACATTATCCAGAGATAAGATGTGGAGAAAGAAGAGAAGGGGACCAAGGACAGAGTCCTGTGGAATCCCTCAGAGAAAACCAGTGGGAGGATGAGGACCCTCCAGAGGACACACTGGAGCGATTATAGAGGTAGGGGAGAATCAGGAGAAAACTGAGTCCTGGAAGCCAGTGGAGGACAGGATTTCAAGAAGAGGAGCATGGTCAAGTGTGTTGAAGGTGGCTGACAGGTAAAGGAGTATGGGGACAGAGTATTGATTCTAAGTTTTGGTGAAGAAGATGTCATTAGAAACTGGTGAGAGTGATTTCAGTGGAGTGCTAGGGGTGGAGGCTGTATTGGGAAGCAGGGCCGGCTTTAGGAAGTGCGGGGCCCGATTCGAATACCCGGTGGCGGTCCAGGTCTTCGGCGGCACTTTGGCGGTGAGTCCTTCACTCTCTCTGGGTCTTCCGCGGCACTGAAGGACCCACCACTGAAATGCCGCCAAAGACCGGAAGTGCCGCCGAAGACGTGGACCGCCGCCGGGTGAGTAAAAATTAAAAAGGCGCCTAAGTTAGGCACTCTTCTTTAGGGCGTGGGGCCCTCTTAGGCACTGGCGTGGGGTCCTCTTAGGCGCAGGGCCCAATTCGGGAGAATCAGCCTAAAGCCAGCCTGCTGGGAAGGTCTGGGACAGAACTGAAGGGTGAGGAACTTCAGAAAGTGATTATCGACAGCTTGTTCAATGATCTTAGAGATTAAAAGGGAGATGGGGCAAGTGGGGGTCATTGGAGGGTTTTTGTAAGATGGGAGAAAGTAAGAATGTTTGTAGTGTGAGGGGAAAGAGCTAGAGAGAATGAGAAGTTAAAAAGAAGAGTAAGAATGGAGACAAGAATGGGCCCAGGGGCACTGGGACAAGTAAAGAGGTTAGAGGAGGAAAGCAGACAAGAAACGTTCTAGCTTTGAGATTTTGTCCAGGGGAGTTAGAGGGCTATGTGAATCACACTACAATAGTAAATCTGGTTGAATTGTCTGGTTTTGACTTGTCTGTTGAAGGAGGCTCTTGTGGTTAGAGTATGGACCTATAACCTGGAGTGCTGGGTTCTAGACCAGATTCTGCAAGCCACTGCATAACCATGGGAAAGTCACTTTGCCTGTCTGAAAAAAAGGGTAACAATACCTCAAATATTTGTTGAGAGCTTATTTGTAAAGCATTTTCAGATCCTCAGATGAATGATGCTATATATGTGCAAAGTAGTGTTATTAAAATGAAATTTGAGCTGTTTTGCAGTTTGGAATTTTACTCTGTTTTGCACATTTCTTAAACTTGTCATTATTTTACAATTATCCTTCATTCTGCCTTTGGAGAGAGAGAAGATGCGATTTTGCAGATGCATGCGGCATTCCCATGTGATTTCTAAATGACTGGCTGTGAAATGTGGCAGAGATTTCAGCAGAAAATTGCTTTATTTTATTTTATTTTATTTTAATTTTTTTTTTTTTTACGTGAGCGGGTGAGGATGCTGGAGTGGCTTATTCTAGGGTGATGATTATCTCGCCGAGTGTGGTGTGTTTGTGCTTGCTTAGAGACAGCCATTTCCTTTGGAATATGAGTTCAGCTGGACAGAGCGTTAAAATCTTGCAGTGGGGAGAAGTGATTTCTGAGAGTTTATTTTTGTTCATGTTTGGCTGAAACTGTCTGAAATTGTTGCTGCTGTGGATAGAATCAAAGTTTTCAAGCAGTTCACCTTTGTGTGACTGTGCGCTTTCTTTGTGAACTGTTGGTTCTCAAACTTTGAAATAGAGCATAGCTTGTAGCTGGTTTTTCTGTTATCAGTTTAAGAGCTCCTACCATGTAACATACAGATATGATTCAGAAAACAGATAGGACACAGATATGTTTCGTACCAAGGAGGGATTTTGCATGTGTTGGGATTTTTTTGACAGTTACTTTTCTGAATCTATCTCTACTTTTCAACATGATTGGTGTGGTCAGATGTTGGCTGCGTACGTGTTTATTCAGTGTGCTGTCCCAGCTCTGCGGAGATAGCAGACCTTAATTAAACTGCCTAATAAATTTACAGATTTGGTTTTTAGCAAAGGCACCCGGCTAGGTTTATTGTTGGCGAAGCACGGTAACAGCATCTGGCAGACTCTACGAGTATACGAAGACATGTAGGCTCGTGACAATGAACGCAGCTTAGGTAGTGGTGGGACTTTCCACTGCTCCCTAGGCTGGCCAAAGATTATACCCCATTACAAACAAGTTAGTACTGTCCCTTTGACATAGTTAGTTACTGCCCCCTGACATCGCTAGTTATTACCCATTATTTTGTACATGTTGGTTTAAATAAAACATCTTTATTACATACTGTCATCCTAACCTTATCTTTTAAAAGAGGTCAGTGTGTTCTGTTATCCGTGGGAAATGTTTTTGTACCATCCTTAATATCAAAATGCTCTGGTCCCTTAATACTGGGATGTGTTTGCATAAGCACTCTGTAACTAGCACTTCTTAGGAATGTGTATTTCTGCAATATTAGCCCTGTTCTTGCCAAATTCTGTAAGGAGGTCCTGTCTCATGCCAGGTCTCTAATACAAGGGCTTATGTCTCAGTCTCTCTTCCTACTACATTTCTGATCCTAGATGAAACCTGAGCTGCCTGATCCAACCCAGCCTTAGTTAGACAGCTACCGTTTATATATTTGAGTAGCCCCATTGACTTTGGTAGGTCCACTAGCATGAGTGAGAACTACTTATGTGACTGAGGGGATGCAGGGTAAGGCACTCATTCCTAGACAGTATTAAAACTTTCCTTCAGCTTATTTGCCACCTTTCGTAGTGCACACTGCTGAAAATTCGAAGAAGGGCACACAAGAGATGGCCACAAAAATGCATGTTCATTTATTGTGCCCATTGACACATGCAAATAAAATAATACTTGAGCATGTAAATTGTCTGTTAATTACATCGCTACTGAGTGCCTTAAAAATCCATTAGAGAGACAAAGTGAGTGATGTAATATTTTTATTGTACCAACTTCTGTTGGGGAGAGGTACAAGCTTTTGAGCCACACAGAGCTCTCCTTCAGGTCTGGGAAAGGTGTTCCCAGCATCACGGTAAAATGCAAGGTGGGGCATATTGCTTGGCATAAGTAATTAGCACATATTCAAAGGAACCATTTAAGGTAAAGTGGCCCGTTAACACCTCTGTAGTCATAGGACAAAAAGAGGGGGTCAGTGGGTTATAGATTATTGTAAGAAGCCATAAATCCAGTGTGTTTGTTCAGTCCATGCTTTTTAGTGTCCAGTAATGAATTTAAGCTCCCAGGCTCATCTTTTGAAAGTGTTGTGCAGGTTTCCTTTGAGGCTGAGGAGTCAGATATAGTGTGATTGCTTTGTGAATAGCATTTGCCCACTGGTGATGGGAAGAAGGGATTTGAACAGGGATCTGCCACAACTCAAGTGAGTGCCCTAACCACTGGGCTATGGGATATTCTGAGGTGAAGCTCCCTCAATCTCTTCTATTGAAGCTGTTGCACTTTGGAAAAATAATTAGTCATTGGAACAGGGGGACTGGATCCCGGGTCTCCCCATCTTGGGGGAGTGCTCTGACCACCAGGCTACAGAGTCATTCTCATGCTTGTGTGCTCTCTCTCACTCTGAGTCATTCCTCCCACCCCACACCTTCTTGCTAAAACAGCATAAGGCAAGTAAGTCTAAAGAGGATTCCTGGATCTGAATCACAAGAGGAAATAGACACCTTGCTGCAGCCCACACTTAGGTGTCTATATCTGTGAGAGGGGTGGGTCTTAATGCACACCCCTCTAGATGGCATCTTCCACTGGCTAGCTTAGATAGGTCCCCCCTAGCACACTAGCTTTTGTTAATTGCAGTCTAAGGTGCTTATCTCTCCCCATTCATTGTACAGAAGCTTAGGTGCCTAACTCAGACTTTGTGTATTGCAGTGATTTTACCAAATGCCTAAAAGTTA